GTCGATTGTATTTTCTGTAAATCAAAGACGCAGAACGCTGGTCTATAATTGCCTTGTTTTCCTCACATTCAATCATTTTGTTCTCCGATTCTCTCCCTGTGAATTTCCGTCAGGATTGCACACGCTTCAGACCTGCAATCATTTAATAACGCTAATATCATTTTTTTTTTTAAATAATGTGTCACGACGCAGCGGAATCAGGTGCTCGTAAATTTTGAGCTTGTATGTGAAGTTATCAATAATAATAATAACAACAATAATAATAATAATAATAATAATAATACAATTACAAACGAACACATATCAATTTACACTGAGGAACAAGCACACACTTATTTTCTCATTTATTCAGTCAAATGCCTCGTGCGTGCATTCACATAGGTCTAATGCAAATTCACGTGCAGTAAATGAACAATTAAGAACCCTTTCACTCGTTTACACTGTTACCATTGGAGCTAATGCTGTTGTGTCAATATTATTATTATTATACATCGCTTTACTGAAATTCAAAACACAAACATCCACGTAACCAGAAATAAAAGGTCGTCCAAAAAAATACAATCGATAAAATCCTTTTGAATTAAGGTACGAACACCAAAGTCTAGATAGATAAACGTGGTACATCCATCCGGATTTATAGTGTATTGATAACAATAGAATACTTGAGGCACAAACAAAGCTACAAGATATCTTCCAGATTTCGAGTAAAGCCCATTTTGACTCACTGGGTGAATTTAACAATGAGGCGTTGACACTGCTCGGGAGAAATCTCTTTTGTACCCTACATGGTTGTTTCTCTCAAGTTTGGATACTTTCGAAAGTTTCCCACACATCTTGTCCTTCAAACATCCCATAAGTTGCGGCATAAGTCCAGTTGACTCAGGTCTGGATTGTTTGGGGTCAGTCGGAATGACTGTCCTGTAACCGAAATAGCTGTTGACCTAGCCCAGAACAGATTTGGCGTCACGAGGAGCACCCCGTCTTGCTGTAAGTTCTGGTTCTATCTTCCTTCGTTATTAACAAATAATCCCAAGCTTCTCCAGAAATTATTTGTTGGATAACGATGTATCGGCCAGGGTCAACCGAATATTGAACTTCCCTAACCTTTTCAAAAGTGGGTTGTTTTTACAGGCTGCCTACCGTGTGTTTACTCGGGACTTTTTTAGAATTCGAGTCCTCATCTTCTATGGACCCACACCTTTTACAATTTGCAGCCCATTTCAAAATTGACTGTTAGCTCAGAATATTACATCCTATCCCGAGCATCGGGAGATTTTGTTTGCTGATACAGCTTCACTGCAAAAGCATGATGTACACGGGAGAACTACTTTATCATCTTTTCCCTGTGAAACAGCAATGAGGGTTTGTGAGGTTTTTTAAAATAATAATCCGGGTGTACGTTTAGCTTTCTGTCAATTTTGATGTAAATTGGGTCATAAACAAGAAGGTTATTAACATTTCTTTGAACAAACTTTTTTTCCCCTGGTCAGCTGGTACAACATGTACAAACGAACAAAAACGCTCACTGCACTCACCACAGCCCACGTCTGGACACCGACGTTCTGTCACGTGAAATCTGGCCTGCCTGGGCCCTCAGAGGGCGTTGTTGATGGCGTGGAGAAGTGGGTACTTGCCCTGACCACAGTGACCACTGAAGTCGTCCAGGTCAATCGCCCATATGAAGGCTCCGGCCAGACCCAGATTGTTGATCATCTCTCGGACCTGGCGGATAGATAGATAGATAGGTAGATAGATAGGTAGATAGATAGATAGATAGATAGATGGATG